TTTTTTTTTTCCCCAGGGGGGGGGGGGGGGGACGTATGAAGTGATTAAACTGATTGTAGCATTTTTTTAAATTATTTTTTTTGTTTATGTATGCACAATTATTTACAAGGTTTACAGTGTTTTAATTGTATGTTTACATTAACTGCTGTATGCTGGTGGAGTTTTTTTTACTGTATTAAAGTATCTAAAGTGGAATCACTGTTATCCTGGTTGGTTCTTTATTGTATGAAATTTTAAATATGAAGTCAAAACTCAAATGTGAGCAACATAGTCATGTTTCTTGACACACGTGCCAATCCCCAGCTAGATTAAACTCAGACATGCTTACCTTTTGTTATATTGCAGCAAGTCAGAATTTAACTATCAAAGCTTGTCCAAATTGTGAGATGAAAGGCTTTTATTATTATTATTACTTCAGAAATTGAGAGCACTCATTCGTGACTTGTTTGTGAACATCTCAAACGATGACTTCTTCACTTAATATCGCACGTTAATTGAGATCAAGTGCAAAATCTCCTTACAAACAAGCTATTGATATTATTTTCGGATGTAGATCGTATCTCAAGCAGGTTTGTCTAGGTCTAGTTAGCAGTACACTACATGATCTCTTCTCTAAGTAAACCCCACAGGCGTTTGACTCGTGCTCACCTGAACATAAGCATGTGTCCTAAACGCACGTCCCGCTATGCAGAGAATGAAAAAAAATATTTTCTTAATTAGGTTAGAGGGTTTTGTGAGTTTGTGACTTCAGGCTAAAGCTAAAATCTGCTTAGGCCCCAATCAGACAGAACGCGTTTTTCAGGTTTGAGGCGCACCACACTGCCTTTTTTGGTTGACTTTTTTCATTTAGAAAAGTGTGCTTTGTTGTTGTTGCAGTCTCTGGACAATCCAAGCAACTGGAAACTTCCGTCACCACAACCTCTCCATTCATTCGATTGGACAATGGGGAAAAAACGCGAATGACGTCGGGTGCTTTTCAGATCAGAGTTGATTTTTTTCCATCTTCAAAAAAAACAAAGCGCTCCTAAAGTGTTGCCAACTTAGCAATTTTGTTGTTAGATCTAGCAACTTTTCAGACTACCCTAGCAACTTTTTCTTCAAAAAGCACCTAGCAACAAATTTAGCTATTTTTAAAATTTATTTGGCAAATTTTAGCAGCTGTGACTCAAATGATAAAAAGGCACACCTTTTCCTTGAAGCTGCAGTCCTTAAATTTTGCCTCTTTGTCGCCATCTCTATGTGAAAACCTGGAATTGCAGCTGTGTGCGGAACTATCTAGCTTGCGTGGGTTGTGAGTCGGCACGGCTCCAGTGTGGATGAATCTAATGTTGTGAAGAGTATGTGTGGCAGTCAGTCACCGCACCGGTGAGGATATTTACGGTACTTCACAATCACAGATTCTAGCCTACGTTTTGGAATATGATCCAAATAAGAATTTTCACTGTATATTGCCATCTGAACAAGTAACAAGTCTGCCACGTTTGTTCTGACCAACTGAGGAAAAATCATTACCATAAACCTGGCTACCAATGGTGATTAAATCTAAAGATCGGTTAGCTCATATCACATCAAACCGTAAAAATTATTATTATTGTTACTTTATTCTCAAATGATTAATGTTAACAACATCAGCATTGGTGACTATGAGTATAGTGTGTATAAGCGAGTAGATTTCAATTTCTGCACAGTCTAATCTAATTGTCATACTCTTCGAATTTCATATTAAGAAATTATTTTAACCCAAAAAGCAAATTATGCTCCCTTCGAACTGGTTTTCTTTAAAATACAAATCTTGTGTATCTGTAATCAGAAGCACATTTATAACTGGAATATAGTTTAATTTCATTCACATGTTTCATAAACACATAATCCTTTATGGATTACAATCTGCAATCAAAATTATACATTTAATTATTCTGGTTGCTGTGAGAAAAGGCTATAAACGATCTGCCACCTGCAGGATCCTCACATGTGCCTAGTAGCCAGGACTTCTTTATGTTTACAGAAGTGACGTAATGACGCAGCGGCATGCTCGAATTTCCCGCAAAAACCTACCCGTACCACTTAAATTAGAAAACATTATTATAAGCTGACCGTAGTGAATCGGGCTGAAGTAAGGCTATAGTTTTGAACACTGGCTGGTTATGTTCAATTCAATTCAATTCAATTCAATTCAAGTTTATTTGTACAGCGCTTTTCACGATACAAATCATTGCAAAGCAACTTTACAGCAAATTAAGTTTCTACAATATTTAGTGGTAGCTTATCAGTGGTGACTGTCAGTTAATGTACATAATCTGTCTTTGGTGGCTGGAACAATAGTTTTGCCCGGACGATAACGCAGAGCCATATAGTTAATATTAGTAATACGCAGCATGCACGATACAAGGAAATGGTCAGTAACATCATCACTTTGAGGTACGATATCTATATCAGTAAGATCAATTCCATGTGATATAATTAAATCTAGCGTATGATTAAAACGATGAGTGGGCCCGGTGACGTTTTGCTTGACTCCAAAAGAGTTTATTAGGTCAGTAAACGCAAGTCCTAATGCATCCTAATGCAAGTATGTACTTGCTCAAATATTGATTTCGGATCATTTTTAACCAAAAAAAGTTACGGACTGCAGCTTTAAATTACACAAAAAGAGGAAATCAAAGGTGTCTAGCAGTACACATATCACGTCAAGTTGCTAGTCGCAATTGTTCAATAATAATCGTTTATTCATGAAAACACCTTGTTATTAGTTTGTACCTGCACTTGTTGATCAATTAAAATTTTTTTAGAAAAATGGAAAAGGTCATGGTAATTTTCTGCCAGAATATTATCCATTAAGTTGTAACCTGAAAACACAAAATACAATGCATAATTTTAAATTCAGGTAAAACAAAAACCTGTGAAAAATCAATACAGAAACTTCCTTAAAATTAACAGTACATTGTGCCCTATTATACAGATTTTTTTAAAGTGTAGCATACTAACTTCCAATACACTGCTTTAAAATATAATCGCTTAGAGTGTGTAGTTTTACTAGATAATAAGAAAATACATAAAAAGATAATTGTTAAAAAATGTGTAAATGTTCAATAATTCAATGTTGTATTTAAATATATATATGAATGTAACTATATATATATATATATATATATATATATATATATATATACATATATGCTATATAAATCACATGACGTCAATGCGCAATGACATCACAACGTCATTTAGCAACAACTTGAAAATTCCATGAAAATTATTTGGCAACAAGTTTGAAACCATAGCGTTGCCCCTGCTGCCAAGTACCAACAGAAAACAAAAAGGCTCCTCTCAATGCAAAAAACCGCATTCTGTCTGATCGGGGCCTTAAGCAGCATTGTGGAATGTTTTTATACAGGAAAAATAACTAAAAGCTAATAACACCGGAAGCCACGCACAAAAGTTAAAAACGGCCCTGCAATGTATCTATATATATATATATATATATATATATATATATATATATACATATATGCTATATAAATCACATGACGTCAATGCGCAATGACATCACAACGTCATTTAGCAACAACTTGAAAATTCCATGAAAATTATTTGGCAACAAGTTTGAAACCATAGCGTTGCCCCTGCTGCCAAGTACCAACAGAAAACAAAAAGGCTCCTCTCAATGCAAAAAACCGCATTCTGTCTGATCGGGGCCTTAAGCAGCATTGTGGAATGTTTTTATACAGGAAAAATAACTAAAAGCTAATAACACCGGAAGCCACGCACAAAAGTTAAAAACGGCCCTGCCCGCCCGTTTCTTAGTGAAGTGTGTTACAGAAACTGAACAATTGAAACTGAACAATTTGTCCAATTTTATTGTGAAAAGGATCTTGTGGCAGCCTCTGAACAAGCATTATGAACAACATGAAATCTGACAAAACTGTGTGAAATAATATTTGTAAACCTCTGAATTTTACCTAAAAGAAAAACTTCCTGCACACTTAAAGTAGACATTAAAAATAATGATAAAACAAAAAGACCCCCCCCCCCCACACACACACTTTTCTTACAAATAATTTCCTACGGAATAAGATGAAGACAGATAAATGATGACAAAAGTTTCATTTTTTGGTGAACTATTTTTTTTTTTAAACTTAAACGCTCTGAAACTAAAAAAGAATGTCTCTCAGCATCTCCCTATGTCTTTTTTAAGATTATACAAAAATAAAGAAAACGCGAGAATTTCCAAAATAAAACAAAATACTGTAATGCACTACAAACTAAATCGAAAGTGCTCAGGTTGAGTTTAGCCTCCTGGAATTTACAATACCTACAAAATATATGAATATTCATTCAAATAATGTCTGATCAGACAAATAAAATACTGACAATAAAGTTACAGATAAGCTAAAAACTATGATATGCATCTAAACATGTTAGCCCTAAATTGTTTATGGACAGAATATATAATCATACATACAAAGTAAACACTGAAATTGCCACTTTTCCCTTTAAAGTCTCTTTGTAGTTTTAGTAAAGCCTGCTTTTGCATGTCCATACATTAAAACATTTAGGCCTTGTCTGTTTTAATTGCCCTCAAAAAAAACTGGAGGAGGAGGACTGGAACCATAATGGTCAGCTTGTGCATCCCTATCTTCAAAAAGTTTCAGAACGTCCACCCTGCATCGGATCCAAGCATGGCAACGTCAATTTGTAAAATGTGCCTCAAAGTGTCACTCAAACCAGTGTGATCTCCACCTCTTCTCTCTTCTGCACCTGGCCCTGTGCCTGCTGTTTGGGTGGAGGTGGAGCAGCTCGTACCTGCAGAAAACAAAAACACTCATCAGATTTCACAGTAAAGCGCCCATCATTGGCATGCAGCTTTAGAAGTGCAGATCTTACAGGTCTCAGGCCCGACCCGCCTTCTCCTGGGGATCTGGGTGATAGGATGTGGGTGTGACCTGTGGAGGAAAAGACACAGATGAATATGATTCTGACAAGAGCATAAATCTAATAATAGAATAGCCTCAGGCAGTGTTGTTTTAGTATCATTGAAATACTATTGAGATACTATTATTTTATTCATATTTTGAATTAGGTTTATATTTTCTGTCCATTTTAATTTTAAAATGTGAATCATTTTGTAGTGTGGTTTTGTATTTTTTTTTGTCTATTTAGTTTGTATTCATTTTTAGTTTGTTATTTTAGTTCATCAAGTTAAACAATACAAAATGAAACACATTGCTTTGGCAGCTAGCTTGAGATAAAATACATTTTTTATTTTATTTTATTTCAGTTAACGTTTATTTTATTTCAAGTAACAAACTTTTTATGGATTTAGGTTTAGTTCGCTGTAATAACCCTTTTTATTATCATAATATAAAAAAAATGTTTTTGTAACTTGAAATAGAAAAATAGAAAAAAACACGAATATTAAATGAAAGACGTAAAAAATGAAAATGAGAAATTTTGCCTTGGGATCTAACTGAAAATAAGTAAAAGTTCAAGTGCTAAAATTACTAAAACAGAAAAAAAATTTAAATGATAAATGCACATAAAATTACTAAAACATTGAAAACTGAAAATATCCAAATAAAAGCCAAGTCAAAATATGAATGCATATTAAAATAACACCGGTAGGTCAAAAAGTTAATTAGATTTTTTTCTTTAGAAAAATATAACGTTTATTTGGAAGTAGTTAAATTAATAAAATCAAATAATGTTTTTTTTTTTTTAATTATTCAAAATGTTTAAGACAATAAGGGAGTGAACATGAAAATCTGCACATAAAATTACTAAAACATTGAAAACTGAAAATATCCAAATAAAAGCCAAGTCAAAATATGAATGCATATTAAAATAACACCGGTAGGTCAAAAAGTTAATTAGATTTTTTTCTTTAGAAAAATATAACGTTTATTTGGAAGTAGTTAAATTAATAAAATCAAATAATGTTTTTTTTTTTTTAATTATTCAAAATGTTTAAGACAATGAGGTAGTGAGACTGAAAATCACTAAAAATTTTATAGTCATGTGTGAGCTTTACTATAAAGCTTTACGGTTTGCTGTGTTGCTCTGTGTCTTACTGTGGCTCGAGATTTTGGGGGGTTCTGGGGTTTGATAGCAGTTTAAAGTGAGTGTGCTGCTCAAAGATGGCAGCGAAACGGAATCTGGACTTCTACAGGATGGAAACACTGTGGGTAGACTAGCCGCTTGATCCAGAACTGACAGAGACACCTGGTGGTAAGAAACAGCTATTACAAACATATTTCGGAATTGAACACAGGCTTGCTGCAAACATGAACACAGAAACTTTTTCAGTGTGGACCGTGCTCTCCAGTAGTATGTGTATAAACCTGCACGTTCATGCTCTTGTGTGTTTGTGCACTCTCCGGTCTGCACAGATCCTCCACTAATACTGCGGGAAAGACGCCCACTGCGCCATTGAACTCGCCCTCCCAGAACCCATCATCTTCTTGGTTGTGTTTGCTGAGAATGTAAAGAACGGCTCCCTCGGGGAAAGACAACTCGTCCTCTGTCTGAGCCTCGTAGGCATACAGAGCCCTGGCCAGATTTATGGCTGTGCAAAAGAGAAACAGGGCAGAAAATGTAGTTTTGTTTGTTAAATTATATTAAGCATTCAGTACTAACAAGGTATAATACTATAAACTAGCATTATTCCAGATATTATACTATAGCCAGAGGTCTCACCGCTGCCATGAGTGTTCGGGCTGCTCTGGGTGAGTGTCTCTATTTCTGGCTCTTGTTCTGCAGAAGTGCTGGAGGTGTGTGATTGGGTGTCTATGCTGGAGAAAGACTGGAGCATCCTCAATAGAGAGCTGGAGGTTGGGAGTTGCAGGTATTTTTCCGGCACATATCCCACCTGCCCTTCTCTGTTCCTAGCCTGAAAGACATCAACTTGTCTAATAAATGGCAACATCATAATTGGCATCTAGTTAGGGGGTTTTCAAACCTTACAGGCCCCAACAGGTTGTTGAATGGTCAGCAGAAAATTTGAGATATAAAAAAAAAGACAAAATGTATTTTAACAGAACTTAATTTAAAACAAAATATGTTTATAGTTAGTGAAAAAATATAAAACCTATTTTAAGATAAAAAACGATTTCTAGATATTTCAATAATTCAGTTTTATTTTTAAAATTAAAATATTACCGTATAAATAAATGCTAATTATAATATAAATACTAATTATTTAAAAATATTAATTAATATTTATATATATATATATACACTACCATTCAAAGGTTATGTTCAAAAGGTACACTCAAAAGAAGTCCGTTATGATTAATAATAATTTTTACATTATTTTTGTTTTACATTATACACACACACACACACACACAACTTTTCAAAAGTTGAACGATCTTAAGATTTTTATTATGTATATATATTTTTGAAATCATTTTCTTATGCTCACCAAGGCTTTATTTATCTAAAATAAAAATACATTAAAAACAGTCAAATTTGATTTCAACATAACATAACGTTTTCTATTTTAATGTATTTTAAAAAGTAATGTATTCCTGTGAAGCAAGGAATCATTCCTCCAGTCTTCAGTGTCACATGATCCTTCAGAAATCTTTCTAATATGCTGATTTGCTGCTCAAGAAACATTTATTATTATCAATGTTGAAAACAGTTTTGCTGCTTAATTTTTTTGTGGAAACCGTGATTTATTTTCAGGATTCTTTGATGAATACAAAGAACAGCATTTTTAAAAAAATCTTTTGTAATATATATGTCCTTACTGTCTCCGTTGATCAATTTAATGCATCCTTGCTGAATTAAAGTATTAATTTCTATCAAAACAAAATCTTGACCCCAAACTTTTGAAAAGTAATGTATAATAATTATAGTAATTTTAAAAATAAATCAATATATATATAAATTATATTTTCCTTACACGGTACAAATAGATCTGTATACATGAAATTATATAATTAATACAGAAAAAAAGATGTCTTTATATTTTAAGGAATGAGTGAGGCAAGAGGATCATAGGCATTTGAAAGTTCAAAAACTCCTGACCAAGTTGAGAGGGTCTGCGTATACCTTAACCCAGTCCTCCATGTCTCCATCATCAATTAGCTCCAGTATTTCCTGTTCCTGGATTGTGAGCTCATCAGGCTGGGATGCCTGTGGAAATAAAGCACAGGAAATGACATCACAAATGGATGAATAGAACCCTGAAAGACTGGAGAATGACAGGCTAGACCTCACTAGGTGTGTACCTGATACGAGTAGAGCACAGAGCAGGTGAGAGGGTAGTTCCTGTGAGTGCTGGAGGGGCTGGAGCTGCTGTCGTCTAGCATCTCTGTGTCCTCATCATGTTCTCTGTCAAAATCTACAGAGTGCTTTAGACATTCATTGTAAAAGTTGATTAGAATGGGTTATAGGGGTTTGCGTGGCTCTGGCTTTGACTGTAAGAGATTCAGACTTACAGAGAATGAAGCATCGTGGGTATTGAGGGCCGCCCATCTCTCGTTCTCCAGTTCCTCCATCACTTGGTTCATGGCGCTCTTCAGCCAGACGTCTACAGCCACACCAATGTCTCGAAGGAGGTTCAGACGCTCCTCTGCCTTCACTTTCATTGTCTACAGGAAGAGTGGACTCATCATCTACCAACTTCCTATTTTATTACACATTGTTTATGTACATCAACTATTTCAACAACATTTGATGCAAGAACCAGTACTATTACAAACCGAATGTGCAGCTTCTTTTAATAACCAGTTCAAGGAGTAGCGACCAGCAGAGGGCGTGCGATGTCACTAAGCCAATGTTTTCATTTAACAGTAGGTTTTTCCCAGAGGTGATGGACAACTTATGATCTGGACTGATATACAAACACAAATAAACAAACTCTCCACCTCGGATTTCCGAATGCATTCTCTTGCATCGTCCATTTTCAGTTCTAGCTCGTTGTTATTCTGGTCCTGTTGATGCGACTCTTCGTACTCCGAAAGAATCTAAAAAAAACAACAACATCAAACCGAAAACAAATGTCAAATCTATTAATAAATGATTAAATTAACATGAACTAAGATTAATAGATGCCGTAGAAGTGTTGTTCATTTTTAGTTCATGTTAACTATTAATATTTTATGTTAATATTGGCCATTTATCAGCCAGAATTTTAATATTAGTGCAACTAATATAAAAATAAAAAGTATTTAATTAAATTATTTTTACATTATAAATTATAATTATATAAAATTATTTAAAAAAAAAATTTATATCACAAATTCACATGCTGAGACATAATATTGTTTGAGAGACCCCTCACCTGCTGCGTATGGATGATGTTCTTGTGTTCTCTGGCCACACGTGTGGCCCATTTCCTAGCTTCTTTATTCAGACTGTGTTCTTCAGCCGTGCCACTCTCCTTCAGCAGTTCCCTGACCTAAAGAGATCAAGAGAGAGAGCTGACTGATGCACAACACAGACCCTGCACATGCAACCTTGATAGTTTCTCAGTGCCTGCCCATGTGTACCCATGTGTCACAGCATAACTCCCAAAATCAAATCTTTGCACAACGACACTCTCAAAATATTATGTCTGTAAATATTGACAGACTAAATGATTAGGAGACGTAAGCTCTTGAAGAATGATCCTTCGAGATGCTACTTTACAGAGCAACTCCTTTTCACCAAAAACTGAATATTACAACAAATCCTTGACTAAATGGTTTTAGCATAATACAAGGGGAAAAAAACACAATATCAGTCTTAATGGACTTGCCTGGGAGTGAGAAAACACAGAAGCCTGCATGCATCAGCTGATCTACAGCATGCGGATACTGATGATAATACAGCCAATGAATGTGATTTCAATTTCTAATAATATGCAGTATTAAAAAAAAAAAAAAGCTTTATATTTTAGGGATGGGGAATGGGAGGTGTTCATGAGGGTTGCAAGAGGTGGGGCAGGTTCACTTCTCAATGCCCTCTTTTCACAGGCTGTGTTGCTTCCTGCCTGCACTGACACCCAGTTTTCCCTGGTCTTTCCGCCCCACCAGCGCTGAGGGCTGCATCTCTAATGTTTTCTTTAGGAACAGACTAATGCTTGTTTGACTCACAAACAAAAAGAGGGTAAGAGAACAAATGGGCCACTATACTGGTGTGGTGAAGGGCGAGATGACTTGCGGGCAGCAGGGGGCGCTATAGCATATTTGAAAAACAGTTGCACAGTCATGGAAGAACACATTCGGCCTTCATTAGAGCACTTTTTCTCTTTGTCAGACTGATTAATGAAAAAATAAGAATATTGTAACAATGTTTTAAGTGACATTTAAAGTGAAAGAGAAGTTTTTGGTTAGGATTATGTGCTGAACCTTCATTTAAAACTTTGAATCCACAATAAATGTGAAATATTTCTTGTAAAAATCCTCTTATTTATAAGTATTAGGCTCAAGAAAAGGAATTGCTGTAGAATGTTGTAGAAGATGCTGTAGAAGTATTGTTCAGTGTTCAGTAACAAATGAAACCTATATTAGTATTATTATTTATATTATTTTATTTTTTTTAATTTATTTTAACAAAATAGATTTTAGATTAGATAATAGAATAATTAATTTGATTATATTCTTAATTTTAATCAAATAATTATATTTTTTATTAATTTTAATAGAATAATATTAGATTAGATTATTAATTTGATTAAATTTAAGTATTTTCTATAAAAAAAAAATCTTATATTACTTTTTATTTATTGTAATATCATCCATTATATATTTATTATAATATCATCCATTTGTTTATTACTGGTGCAACCCTAATATATAAATAAAAAATAAATACACATATAAATAATTTATTAAAAATTTTTTTATCACATATGAATAGTAAAGTGAGAAAATGAGTTCTCTGTACAATTTGCATCTCTGTTGTTTGTGTGATTTTTTTTAGTTTGTTCTTGAGTTGGAGGCAACATACCGAATCATTTTCACAAGGCTGGTACTGGAAGGGGGCGGCTTTCTGAAACACTGGGTTGTCCTGAATGAATACCTGTTGGTGGATATCCTGTGTCACCTACAGAGGGGCCAAACATACACATACAAACACACAAGGACAATTATATTTATGTAAACTACTTGTCTAATGTCAAGATGTCACATTAACAATAGCACAGCTAACATAATCTCTGACAGACCACCAGAACAGGTAATTCATAAATAGTATGTGTGTTGTAACCTGATGCTGGACTGGAGACATTAAACCTGAGTGCAATGAACTGAATGGAAACACTGTGACAATCATCGAATTACAACAACACTGGACTACAACCAGACCTAATGACACACACTGAAGGCTGTCTCTACTGAAAGTCAGTCGATTCTCTTCAAATCTACACATTTATAATAATAACTAACACTCATTTTGTATTTCTAATTTGTTTATGTTTTACCCAGTTACTGCCAAATTGAAACATCAGTATATCTTAAAAAGCTTGTCTGCTCTAACATAGAGTAAAGTTCTCATTTCTAAACCACTGCAAACTCTCTAAAGCAGGTACATTTCTCTCTTTAAGGTCAGTATTAACTGTCTGAGCTGGGATTTGATCCAGCAACCCTCCAGTGGCAGATCATATTACCTGCTCTACATTCGGCCACTGTGGTTGATTGTGTTTTTCCATAGCAGTGTATACACAAGTGTGTGTGTGTTTGAGCAAGTGATGCAATGCTAAATTTCTCCAAATCTGTTCTGATGAAGAAAACACTCACCTACATCTTAGATGGCCTGAGGATGAGTACATTTTCCTATTCCTTCAATATACTGTTATTAAACATTTCTGAAGTTTAGATTCAGAGCTTCCGAGTGGCCTTTTAAAAACTCCACTTCAATTGTCACCACAAAATAAAACAGATTCCTCAGAGGAGAAATTTCTCCTTTTATCCCATCACTCCAAATGTGGAAAACATGGGAGGACAACTTTCAGTTTGTAAAAGCAAAACCCACATGGGTATTTCTGCCTGTCTGCTTGACACTTAAATGCCAGACCGAGCCAATGTGTAGATTTACAAGTGAGTAAGCAACTGCTTGCTTTTGAAACAGAAGAAAGGAGAAAATAACACTCACTTTCCATCCTCAAGTCAAGTAAATGTCACTGTATTGGACTGATTTCCAAAAGTCACAAACAATTTGGTAAAATATCAGAGCAAAAAAACCTAAAACAAAAACGGAAAAATAACCAAGCTAGAACAAAGTTCCTTTCATTACTTCACCATTACTATCTTAAAAATAAAGGTTATTTATTGGCATTGATAGTTCCATTATGAACCTTTAACATCCATGGAACCTTTCCATTCCACAAAAGGTTCCTATAATGTAAAACGATACTTTATCATTTTAAAATGTTTTTTTAAATAATTTTAAGAACTGTTAACTGGAAGGTTCTTTGGGGAACCAAAAATGGTTCTTCTATGGGACTGCTGTGAAAACCCCCTTTGGGAACCTTTCTTTTTAAGGGGGTACTGACGATAATTCCAACAAAGCATAGTTAAACTTCAACAAAACTGAAATGACTGAACCGTAACAAGTTCCACAAAGGCCAGAGAGTGAGCAGCATCCGCTCAAAACAGAGAGGATTTGCTTTCTGGCCCTCAGACTACAATCTGGCACTACCAACCCAATCCTATGAGCTGCCAGCTCTGATGATTCGACTCAGGAAGAAGACCCTGAAGAAGAGAGAGATTCCTGTCTTCATGAGCCAATCAGCATCCACCAGCCCTGCAGGTGCACAAGCTTCAGATCCAACAGAAAAGAAACTCTCACTCACACACACATACTGAGCGTCATTCAGACAACTGGGCTCTCCATTCACCAAGTGATCACACAGATCTCATAGTTTCTTGATGAGGACTGTCGGCATGTCAGGCTGTACATCTATAAAATGTGGGCGTTAGTCTGTTTATGCAATATGCAATATGCACTACAATTCATTCTCTTATGCTGACCTAGGCTGCATTTATTTGATCAAAATTGTCAAAAAAAGTGAAAAAGTATTAATTTAAATAACTTTCATATTTTAATATATTTTAAAATGTAATGTATACCTCTGATGGCAAAGCTGAATTTTCAGCAGCCATTACTCCAGCCTTCAGTGTCACATGATCCTTCAACATTTTAATAGAATTTTTTTAAGTTTCTTGATTTGCTGCTCAAGAGACATTTCTTATTATCATCAATGTAGAAAATAGTTGTTTTGTGAATATTGTGATGCTTTCCCCCCCAGGATGATTTGAATAGAAAGTTCAAAAGAACAGCATTTATTTGAAATAGAAATTGGTTGTAACATTATAAATGTCTTTATTGTCGCTTTAGATCAGCTACATTACTGAATGGAAGTATGAAAATCTGACTGACCCCAAAGTAATTTATCCAAACTTGTTCTCAGTTTTGTAGCTTTAAGGGAAAAATAAGTGAAAATGTACATCCTAATGACCCAAATATATGAAATCATGTTTATAAAGTGACATAGCATTGCTGTCATGTGGATCTTCTTAGCAATGCATTTGAAAGAGACAATAGCAGATTCAAACCAGAATGCAACTGACAAGAGTTCATGAAACCAATCGCCTGCAGGTCATTAAAAACCACAGTTTTTTTCCACTGAGTCACCAAATCTATCTCTACAAAAACAAACTAATTCACACATAAATTGTCAGTGATCAGTGGAAGATGCATAACATCTGTTCATCATTATTAATACAGTTTTCCTTATTCTGACCATAAAATCTTTAAAAGATCATCAAAAATAAACACACTTTAAATTATGAACTCATGTAATTCAATATGGTGGCCACAACTCACCTGTGAGCAATCTTTCTCTATTAGTGCTTTCTTCTGGCTGTAAATCCTGAGGATTAAACACACACACACACACACACACACAAAGTCAAGCAGTTCAGCACTAATATACCAACAGACAGACAGAAAATAGCTCTATAGGTGTTTAAAAAGCAGTGTAAAATCAAACTCGACCTCAGATCCTCCAGGAAGTCCAAGTCTGTCTGGTGTTTAAGCTGGAGTCTGTTCAGCTGCTCTGTGTGAGTGTGTTTCACTTCTTGTGTTACTTTTACCTGCAACACACACAATGACAACCTCAGGAGAACCAACTTTGACCCAGATCACACCAACCTGAAAGCGGAGCCTGTGTCTGGCATACTCGAGTCAATGGAGACAGTAGGACAGATGCTGGAACTATAAACAGTATGTATGCATAAGCATAAACATTATGTGTTATGTATAATACGTTGTGTGTGTATAAACATATTTATACACACATGATATATTTTACTAGTATTTAAAGAAGTTGCAATTATCCAAATTAATATATAATTTAGTCAAACAAACAAGGAGACAAGAAAGCAAGCAAACAAACAGACTGACATGACAACAAAACATCGTAAAAAGTGAGAACAAATAAAGAAGCAGGTCGACTCACCTTTCTTGGAGGAGGCTGCATGTCTGGATCTGGATATACTGGTGGACAAGCCTCTAGAAATTGACCCCGCAATACAGTCAATGGAGACAGTAGGACAGATGCTGGAACTATAAACAGTATGTATGCATAAGCATAAACATTATGTGTTATGTATAATACGTTGTGTGTGTATAAACATATTTATACACACATGATATATTTTACTAGTATTTAAAGAAGTTGCAATTATCCAAATTAATATATAATTTAGTCAAACAAACAAGGAGACAAGAAAGCAAGCAAACAAACAGACTGACATGATAACAAAACATCGTAAAAAGTGAGAACAAATAAAGAAGCAGGTCGACTCACCTTTCTTGGAGGAGGCTGCATGTCTGGATCTGGATATACTGGTGGACAAGCCTCTAGAAATTGACCCCGCAATACCCAAACACATCTGCGGGACGGAGAAATGCAGAGCGGAATAATCTGTTTAGGTGGAAGAAAGAAAAATAGATCACAGAAATACTTCCAGACCCCGCCGTTGCGCTGCTCACGTAAAGCGAACTCTAATGAGAAGAACTTCAGTCAGTGGAACAGAATTGAGAACAGCGCCCTCTGGTGACCGAATAAGAATATACGTTTTGAAAGTTTTGTGCTGTTGTGTGTTTATGAATGCGTGTTGATATATGTGATATATGTTTCCGTTAGAATATGACGCTAAATGTGTACAGAATAGCGTGCAGTATTTAATTGCGAGAGATTAGACAAAGATGAAGGAGAAAAATCAGCAGTGATGATGATAAACATTTGATCAACTGTCACTTAGTTAAATTTATTATACCTTCATCATCATAAAATAATCACAAAAAGGCCCTTCGTCACATGTTGTTGGTGAGATGAGGCCATCTAGCGGTGGGTGTATGTAAAAATAAAGTGGGACACTTACCCAATCAAACTTAAATTCAATATCATAAATAATATATTTTTTATATAATAATAATAATAATAATTAGCAGTAGTAGTAGTATTGCATTATGTATTTATAATATTAATAATAATGATTGTTGTTAATTTTATTATTGCATCATTATTTAATACATTTTATGGTCATGCATTGCAATAAATAAATTTCTAGAAGTACACTTGTACTAAATGTGTTACTAGCTGCTCGTGAAAAGGTTGACATGTTTAAAACCAGTCAAATTAACACACCTGGGAGTGTTTACTACAGATTAAGTGTAATTCCTGATTTAGAAAAATTGCAGTGCCATGCAGTGATGACGAAGTTACTAATTACAGGTCTCACAGCTTCTGTGATAAATCTGTTTATAGGTCAGTTACATTGATGGTTTAAAAACAGATAATTGGCTTGATATGACTACTACAATTACTTGGTGTTTGCTAAATTTAGCCAAAGGGGAGATTAAGGTGTGCATGTGAACATGATGTCTGTCCACAGAATTACAAAATCTTTCAGAACCTCTTTGTTGAGACATCTCCAGAAAGCAATTAAGTTTATGAAGACATTAATCTTAATTCAAATCTTTAAAAAAAAAAAATGCAACAGGTGTATTTTAGGGTTAATGTTAGTGTGATTTAGATGAGTGTGCTTCAGCAAGGAGTTGTGAGACTGTTAACAGGCTAAACTGTTAAGACTTGATACACAGTAATACTGTACACAATAACATGAAGTAGAGATTGAGAAACACAGGAAAGAAAGAAAATATTCCACGTACAACCAGTACAAACTCACATGGTGCTGTAATCTGAGATTACTGGTCAAGCAATCTTCACTTTGGCCTGTTAAAAGGATTAGAGGAAGAGTCATCAAACTATTCCAGCACTACAAAACCCCCTCCGACTGCTGAGACATCTTTAGTCAGTCATTGCTCTCAAACAAACGGGCATATCAAACAAGCACAACATTAGGAGTATAGCTGTTGTTTCTGTAGCAGTTGACTGATCAGGCCCAATGGCTCTGCTCAAATCTGGCTGGCTCTGGAGACAGTGTAAGTATATGATTCTTCATTTATATGTTTATTTAAAGAGTTTCCTAATCTTCTCAAGATACCTCTGAAAATTAGAAGTAGTTAACATTTTTAGCGCCAAAAAATTGAGGAAGACTTTGTATGTATATTCATATAAATAGATAAACAATTATTGTATATTCTTTGAAATTATATATTTCAAAGACTGTTCCAGAAGGTTTGTCATGAAACTCGGGTCCTGACACTGTTTGCAGTAATCCTCTTACGGTCAGTGTTACAGTACAGTACAGTAGCTGTTAGTTTTGGAGCCCAGGTTGCTTAGTGCTCACCTAGAGAGGCTCCAAACGCATTACTTTAAAAAAAATTATAAATAGATGCCGATAGGGTTACATAAAAAAAGTTTCGAATATGAATACTGTCCCCAAAATAACATCATGCCGAACGTTTGGAATAGAATTCGGAATCAATGGAGTCGACACCAGAAGTCGATTCCAAACTAATTGTCTTCTTAAATAAATTTAGGTCTATTCTTTGTTAGACTAATAACAGTCTAATCCTGTCGTATCAAAGACTTATTTAAAAAAGACTTATTTAAATCTGTATTAGTGCTGTGTTTTGGATGTGAATGACTCAGTGGTATTGAACAGATATGTTGATTGAATGATTCAAAGTTGTATTTATAATACTCGAAAAGATACTCTTCACCAAATGCTGTAACCTACAGAAAGAGTACGTTTTGAATAAATCAATGAACAATCTGCACGGAATCAAAGATTCAGTTCACTGGAATTAATCAAAGTTTCCAGTTCTAGCTAGCTTTTAAGGCTCTTGTGTACTAGCTAGCTAGCTTTTAAGGGATGTGTATTAGTTTGGTAATGTAGGCAATGAACTGTTAAGAGCTGACTGTCAGTCTGTTCCCAACTGCTTGGAATCTAATAATCGATCATAAAAGGATTCTGGAAATGAAGCCTATAGTAGTTTGCTTCTTTGTATATTGTCTGTCCTACAAAAGACCATGGAAATGAAGACAGATAATCAATCATATTGTGGATTTTTATTCATATTTTATTGAAACCTTTCACAGCTTCAATCCTCAAACGCTGGAGGTTGAACTGGTGTGACCTGTGGATAGATGGGAGCTTTGTTTTTTACAAAACTGAATCCAGAAGAGACTATGAGACCAAAGTGAATCTGAAGGCCACCTGTGTGAATGTGAAGTCTGGACTGGAGTGTCCAAGTAGGAAGGAACTTTTTCAACATTTCAAGTTATTTGGTCATGTAGAAAGTGTATGAAATATTTTAACAATGTTTTAACAGATAGTGTCTTTGTGAGCAGATGTATGTCCACCTGAGACTCACCCCAGAGAGAATCTGCTGGTTGTTTATCTGAGGCATGGTAATATGCTGATCCTGTGTGCCAACAGTGAAGATGAGGCACTGTAAGTCTTGACCTTTGACATTTTAACTTAACCCCTCACACAACATATGAAGCCCTGCTCACTTTCCTCGCAAATGTATTTCCAGGGCCTGGAAACTCACACTCATGGAGGCGAAAAGAAATCCTGTGAGTGTTATCTTTTACATGCAGGATGGTTTTCTGTTTATTGTAATTTAATATTTGACTCAATTTACATTTTTTTTTCACTCTCATAGGTTTTCACGTACAATCCCTATGATGATACATACCAAACCGTTCCAATTGACAGTCATAATGCAGTTTACATCATGCCAAGTACAGGTAGTGGAGGTAATTATACAAACACATCATTCATTCTGCAGAAAGCACAGAGAAAGGGTTATTGCCACTTTGTGTTTTTTATACATTGATATAATACATTGTTTTAATTATTATTACAACCATTTTATGATTATTTCATTCATTTCCTTATGGCACACTTTACTGCTACTTTATAGCTCAAACAATCCAAGTGAGAAAAATAGGAAAATTAAAGGAATAGTTCACCTAAAAATTTAAATTTAGTTTAAATGTTCTCACCCTCAGGACATCCAAGATGTACAGTAGATGAGTTTGTTTCTTCATCCGAACAGATTTGGAGAAATTTAGCATTACATCACTTGCTCACCAATGGATCATCTGCGGTGAATGGGTGCCGTCAGAATGAGAGTCCAAACAGCTGATAAAAAGTCATCTCGTCTGAATCAGGAATATGCACAAAACATGGAGTCATGTGGATTACTTGTTGATTATTGTGATGTTTTGATCAGCTGTTTGGACTCTCATTCTGACGGCACCCATTTAATGTAAGTTTATTACCACTTTGAACTTACATTTTAACTCCTTGATTTTCAGCGGTCTTATTGATTCCCACTGTAGAAACGTTTTCATAAACAAAGAAACATTTAACCAGGGATGAACCTCTAATCCAGATGTGCTTCCCTGCAGGGACTCAGCATGTCTGGGTACACAGAGACTCTTATGACGACAATTTTGGAGAGCAGATTGCGTTGGGCCTCCTGGCTGGAATGGCTGCAGGTGCAGCAATGCGTTCTCTTCTATGGATGCCCTTCTGGTTCTGCTGAGGACCAGTCAGATAGCAGGATGATCACTGGAAATCCAGCAGACTGAGAGAACAGACCGGAAGAGCCATCCATAAAGCTCAGCCGTAGCAAATGCTCCTGTTCCTTCGTATAAATATGTAAATATGAGAATAGCTGCAGCTGTTTTAAACTCAGTGGGCATTAAGTGGTTAATCAGTGTGTAAAGGAGGGATTCTTCTTTTTTGATTGTTTACAGTTCTTTAGAATATCTATAAAACTATATAATAATTCTGCACACAGCTAATGATTGTTTTTTCTTGCTGCCACGATTCTGCTTTGTGTATGTTGTACATGTAGAGCTTTGCAAACTTGCTCAGGGTTTTGTCCATTATCAGATGTAACGCCCCGTAGCCACATGATGAAATCTACACTTGGATATTTCCAAAAACACTCACAAACATTTCTTCCATCTCTGCACCGTGAATCTGGAACGATGTTTAACAAGTCCACGCCTATTCAAATCTGGATATCCTTCTCAAATTAGTTCTGTAATTTCATTTACTTATCTTGTTTTGTTCCTATTCACGTCATTATTACCGTAATATAAGTATTATTTCACATAAAACGAAACATGAACAAAAACAACACTTTATAAAGTGTTTTAAAAGAGTGAAAAACCAAAACACCACAAAAGGTGTACAATTAATGGAAACAATTAATATAAACGCAACAGCATACACATCCACATTGTGTTTTAAGTGGATGTGGACGAATTTAAAGTCATTTGAGTGAGTCAGTGGTAACGAGGGTGACGGACAGGTAGTGTTCTACTCCCTCCAGGTGGGCGGAGCTTCTGCAGAATATCCAGAGAGATGCTGAGTGCAACTAAGAGCATCAATAAGAGACACGGCACAGAAATGTCGACTGAATCCTTAGCATGAACAGCCGCCTTCGCTGACCGGCTGCTCTGGCGACTTTTCCAATTTTATGTCAATCACTGAAGGAAAACGGAATTAAGGAAATATACAAAGTTTTTTGTAGTGCGTTTGTTTAAACTGCAAAATTTATACAGATGGACAATCAGGAACTAAAACCAGTGATTGCAAGTGTGAAAAGCGCAATTACATATGTAAGTTTATGCACATATGTGTGTAGGATACTGTCTTCTCTGCTCTTGTCTTGTGTGCTCTCCATACCAGGAAGAGCTGCTGCTACACGCCGGAAAAGCTAGACGAGACAAACACAAGCCCCATTATTAAACTCTCACACCAGGATCAGAAAAAAAACAAGCAGTGTGTGGGGGTGTTTGCATTCAGAAAATATTTAATCATCTGGAAATCATCTTTTGAAGACACTGATATGAGCGCAATGTTCAGTAATGCCGTTTTTGAATAATCATGCAAATATAATTTAATAAATCATTAAAGCACATATTTCTACTTTTGATTTAAGTCAAATCTCTGTCACACTCACCTGTTTGACGTTGTATCCGGCTTTAGCACTAGTTTCAATAAACATTACATTCAGTTCTTTGGCTTTCCTCTCTCCTTCCTCAATAGAAACTTGCCTGAAATTATTACATGTAATCATTAATATTTGCCTATTTTGAGCAGATTAAGAGAGTATTAGTACTAGTTTGTGACATTTAAAAAAAAAAAAAGGTGCTTTTGTCAATAGATGCATTTCTGTTTAGTAAATTTTATGTAAATATTGCATAAAATAAAATTGAATTGCAGCAATTTTGTGCACACAAATCACCTTAACCAAAAGTTTGGGGTCTGTAAGGTTTTGTGTTATTGAAAGAAGTCTGTTATTCTCAACAAGGCTGCATTTATAAAAAATTTTAAAAATGCAGTAAAAACAGTAATATTGTGAAATATTATTACAATTTAAAATCACTGTTTTCTATAGTAATCTATTTTAAAATGTAATTAATTCCTGAGATGGCAAAGCTGAATTTTGAGCAGCCATTCGTTCGAGAGAGAGAGAGAGAGAGAGAGAGAGAGAGAGAGTGTGGGGGAGAAAGGGGAAGAGGTAAGAGGAGGGGAACTGGACGCAGAGCGGGTCTCAGATACCTACTTGTGATGTCGTAAACTACAACAGCAGCAGCAGAGTCTCTGATGTAACTGGGAATGAGACTACGGAAACGCTCCTGTCCTGCTGTGTCCCAAAGCTGCAGCCTGATCTGTGTGAATGGAGAACAAACAAAAGAAAAGGAGGAGAATAAAGGAAAAAAGGGGGGAAATGAAACATTCAAGGGGAAAATAATAGATAAAAAAGGAGTTGAATGAAATGTAAGAAAAAAAAAAAAAAAGCAAAGCGGACTGAAACATTTCTCAAGTTCAGGATTTGGGCTAGGGAACGGATTAAGTTATGAGTCTTCAGATGGGCTCACATTAGCAGGGTTATGGTATGGGTTAGGATTGTGTTATGCTATCAAGACTGCAGATCTTCAGAGTAAAACTTTCCAGCTCAAAACCAATCAAAAAGAACAATTCTTTACAGAAGGAAACATACACATATGAACAAATAACTAGAGAGAGAGAGAGCGAAAGAGACACAGCAGGGGGAAGAAGGCACAGGAGTTTCTCATGGTGCAGTTTATGTTGGGTTTTTACAGACACATCTCAATATAAAATGTTCAAATTAATGTTCAACAAAGAAAAGGAGAAAAATGTGATGCAGAATTAATTTCATGCATAATGCAGTTATAATATGTCATAAGAAGAACCAAACATTAATGTGTCAAATCAATTTAAATTATTTTCTATAATAATAATAGTGATAGTTAACTACAAGTAGATGTAAAGTAGAATGCATTACAATCATTGTTTATTTATTTATTCAATCATTGATTTAACACCATATTAGCAGCAAAGGTTATGTTCAGCATATCAGCAACAAAGTTCATGCTAAACTCAGTTTTATAAATTAAAATAATTATAATAAAATTACAACAACAAAAAAACACACAAAACAATGTAACAGTATTGTTCTTAAAACAGTATAAAAACATTGCAGTTTGATTAAAATCAATATGTTATATTACTTTAAAATGTTTTTAAAAATGACATTGTGCAGTCATAAAAAGTATTGATCAATGTAAATCAAACAAATCCCATCATCAATTAATAGCATCCCAGACATTTACACACTGGTAAAAATTATTTTACAGAACTTATATTTTTATAAATTCAATATCTTTAAAACATTGAAAGGCATGCGCATTTACTGTTAGAACAAAAAAACATTTTACTTACTGTTCTGTCCTCAAGATACATTGTTTTCGACAAGAAATCGATTCCTATTGTAGCCTGAAAATAAAAGCAAGGAAATGAAACTTTGAGGATAAAATACACTAATCCATGCATCTGATTAAAAACATCCAAACAAATCTTGGATGAAAAAAATTTTTTAATTAAAGTTGCAGGGTCAGGAAAATCTTCACTCACCTGGTAGGTATTATCGAAACTGTCATACATAAATCTGGTAATCAATGATGTCTTTCCCACTGCAAAATTAAATAAAGAATTAACTAGTAACTATCAACATTACATATCTTTATTACATTCTTGTGAAGTTGTGACCTGTATGCCAATTTTTTTTTCCAGAGACATTTCTACATCAATGATCATCACTTTTATTGCCAATACATTTTCCTAGAAGGAAAAGATCCAACCAGTTACACAAATTAAATGTCCATTTCATGTAAGTCCATCCTTTGAGACACCTAACATTTGAAACTGACATGCTAATAGATTTCATTTCAGAAGCATAACTTTAAAAACAAAAAAAGACTAAAGAACAGGTCTGCATGAATGCATAAATCTGTCCACATTCATTTCAGATTTACATCAGATTCTTCTCACATGACTGAAACATGCAGGGTAATTGCTATAGATTAACCGAAAAACCGCATGTGAAATAAACATGCATCAGTGTCTATGTAAATATATGCAAACAGTTTGAACATTTGCGATGTTTTTTTACTATTCAAATGTTTACACATCCAGGAAAAGTCCAAGCTATTTTTACACGTTTAGTCTTATTAAAGTTTTAAAAATAATGCCATGTGATATTTGTTTATGCTTTATACTGATAGCTCATTTACAAAGAACCCAGTCCTGACATACTGTTGAATTCTGGAAGCAGTGATTTTTCTTTCACTAGCACGAAATGAGATTGACAGACCACATGTGTCAGGGCCAGATATCTCAGAAAGAGGAATGGATCCTCATACTGACACTTCAGTGGTATCTATTAGTAAGTGTTGGCGTTTATATCTTATGAAGACACACAAGTTCTCCTGAGCTTTGAAATGCGAGTGTTCAACAGTTAGAAGATCCAGAAAATGTCAGCAAACCACAGGGTCAAAGATGTGAATATCATGTTTACACAGGAGACAGACAAAAATATGCTATGAAAAGAATATGACATGCAGTTCAAGACCAGACTTTATGGTAATATTTACGGGATTTCAATGAAAAACCTTGGCTGATGTATGATAGTTAAGACTTCAAATGTGATCACAAGTTGTTTTTTTGACATGTTTCAGTACAATTGTAAGATCGGTTCAGTTTGAGACTCTCTGCCGCCTATTCAGGCCCAATTCTGCGCCGCAACCTAACTTGATACTCAGAGGTGTGATTGACAGCTGAGCTCAGCCTATGGAGTTTGACTAAAACAAACTATTTAGATATTGTCTCAATACCACTATCGTTTAATTTATGCTCCTGACATTTCCTGTGATGTCTTCACTTTATAAAACGTACATTTAAAAGGCTCGCTGAACTGATTCGTTCGTATCCATATTCATATGTGATGTTTTTGAGTTCTTAAAACGTATTTGTGGAAATGAAATTGTTATTTGTGTATATATGGAAACAAGGGCGGGGCGCCACACAAGTTAGGTTGAGCTTTGCAAGCGCCACGTCACGTTTCTAGCGTCCCTGCCCTGCATCATCGCGTTCCGTTAACCCTTGCATTGAGTGGGAGTTTGCCAGAATTGAATTACTCTGGCGCTGCCAATTTTAAGATATGATACAATTATATGTAAATATAGAATAAATTACACGCGTGCTTGCTTTCTGTGTCAGTGGTTATTTATGATTATTTCAAGTACCCAGTGTAGAATAGGTTGATATTAGGACAATTTTGTGAATTCTGTGTCTTCAACTAATATTTCAACATTATATTTTATTCCTAAGCGGGGTAATAAGACTTACTAAAACAAATAATACTGATTTCAACCGCAAATGTGACGCTTCTGCTCCAGTAGGCGGCAGCAATGCGCCGGACGAGCGTCGATGCACCTGCTGAAATCCGTGAAGAAGATCGGACGCAGTACATGCGCCTCTCGGATGGATGTTTACGGATTTTGGCTACTT